ATATTAGGCCGGTGCAGATCAGAAAGCAAGCCGCACCATCGAAATTAACTCCGAGGTGTCTATACAGACAATCAATTTGATTTATAATCAACTTAGCTCTATGTTGTATATATAGCCTTATATTTCCCTCAAAAACTAATAAGACAATTCATACCCCTAAACAATAAAGATCTATTCTATTTAGTCAAATTGCTCATCCAAGCAGTCTTCTCTATGTGGCAGACTAAAGGTGTTAGTGCATTCGAGTTATTCACGGCACCGATTGGCCCATTATTTTTAGGCATATATCATTAGTATCCATAGCATCCAACAATAGCATTGATATTGACGACCACAGGCTCCCGGGAGTCAGGGTAAGATATTAGCCATTATTTCACTCAGGCCTTGTACGTCTATAGGCATTCATAGCTCTGATTAGCTTATATCTCTTTGCAGCGGTACCCAATTTCACATATCCACTTAGTTCCCGGGAATTCTATGTAGGTATTACTGACAGGCTATCCAATTATAGTAGGTGTAATGGCAGGTTCAGGTTCCCAGGAGCCCATAGCCGAGTTTGGACCAATCAATTCCACTAAGGCTTCGTAGCACATATGGATCATTCGTGGCACCGATTAGCTAATTATTCCTCCATAAATATCACTCTATCAATGGTAGCCAATGATCGCATCAATATTCACGACCCATAGGCCCCTGAGAACCATCCCAATTATCAACCAATCATTTCATTAAAGAATTATACGCAAGTGGGCCTTTGGTGACACTAATTAGCTAATGTTTCCTTGTAGTAGTACAGTAACCATCTTCTCGTGTTCACTTAGTTCCTAGGAGATCGATGTAAGTATTGCTATACGCAAAGACAAGGTCGATAGCAGGAAGAGTTGTTCTGCGAAAATATAATCGATCTAGTGGATCACTCACGATATAAGGAGCTCTTTCCCGAGATTTAGGCTAAGCGAATTAGTCCCACGCTGCACCATAGCTTGTATCTGCTTGATATTGTATAGGTGTAATAGATTTTCTCCAATATACGAGTTAGGCAATAAAGAATCCTACGGTCTGGCTAATAGGGATCTAGGGTCGCAATATGGTATAGTGTTTGCCTGTCTTTAATGAGGTGTTCGTTGCGTGGAGTAACGGGTATCACTGGTGAGTGAAATGAAAGACATAACCTCGTCACCTCGCCTGTCGCAATAAAGTGCGGACTAATAGTGGTGAATGGTGATAACTGTCATCAATTATTTTCTACGGCATCGTCACGACTGTTTACACGAGCGAACAGCCAGAAAATATTTTGTATGTTCCGGATCACCAGATGTAAAATACAATACCTCTGAGAGCTGCTTCGAACCAGTAATGAAATATTGAGCCAGTTATCATTGAAGAGTAGTTTAAGCTTAGGCCCTCACAATTCATAATGATGATCTTATTAACACAGACTGAATGTCTGGCTAAATTGCTATAAATACCCAGTCCCTCGCCAGCAGAACAGTCGTTCACAAGCATCCTTTATGATTTTGGGTGAAAAAATATCGGGCGTGATTCGTCTCTGTAGCTACTCTCTGGTATCGATTGACCTCCAAACTATACAATGAAATGAGTTAACCTCTTATATCGCAATAGCCTAATCTTTCTCAATAATCAAGTCTTCGAATAGTGAGTGTAGCTACCCAGTCATTTGAAATTATGCTAATGCAGAAGATGCTTAATATTAGCCCCGCCTCCGCTATTCTGCTGAGCACCCATTGAAGAACCTTTCGGGGTCCTGAATGGTCCAAGCTGCGAGCACAGTGAGTTACAAGTTACCTTAATGAGCTGCCTACCTACTGATGATTGATAATAAATAGATGCCATCCTCCATACAGTCCCCTATAACGGACAGCAATAAGTGATCACGTAAGTTTGAATAATACAGCAATTTAAAAGGCAGATATCAGGTGCTGAAGATCCTCTATATAGGATAGCGAACTTTCTATCGCAAGTCGCTCAATGTCTTATAAGTCACACTTGTGCTTTGGCCCTGCCCATTCCCAATGCTAGCTATTACATCTCAATTTCCGCACGATTACTAATCCGTTCGTAGCTCTCTGTCCCTCAGCAAAGATCGCTGATAATTATTTTTCGTCATAGGGCGAGCTTCAATCTTACACTCAACCTGACAGAGCTATATTCCCCTCGTCTTCGAAACTAAATCAACTTCCACAGCCTAAATGGCCAAGCTACTGAATCTCACTACACTTGCGTCTTTGTTGTTTCTGAAGACACGGTTAACAAAGCCACTTCGCCTAGCGCGTTTAGCGGGCCCAATTCATAAAGGCTCGATGCCCTCCAGTTGGCCATATGGTGGAGTACCAACCTACTATCACCTCTTCTAGATTCAACCTGTCCGATCAAATGTTAACTGTCACTACATTAGAAATATTTCGTATCCCGACAGGCATGGCCAAGTCCCATACTAGGCCGACTGAGTGATCACAGCATCCGACAACAACAAAGGGAAGTGTAGCATCGATAACCACCGAGAAATACCACAGATTCCCCGAGAATAGCATCAACCAGTAATAAATCAAGCTTTTAGCCACAGTCTGAAGGATATCTTCGTCAAGCCCTTGTTGCAGCTAAGCAAGTAACAAGGCAGACCGCAGTGCTCGATCTACCCCAAATCTCTCGCCACGAGAGCAGTCGTTTCGGGTTAGTTCCTAGTCTACCCGGGACAAACACCACAATTCTCTCTTTCAACGGGACTTTGTCCTGGCATATTTGGAAATTTATCTACTATCCGAACAGCAAGGACAAAACAGATATACATTAGCAGATATTGCCAACATTCATTTGCAGTAATACCAAGTGATCCTGGGCCATCGTCCACCCATAATCGAGCTGAGCCCGCTACACCTTTAGTTGGCCTTCACTGATACCAGACTACATTAACGGCAAGTCTCTACAACCCTCAGTCGCCAAAAGTCTTACTAATATAGAGAAGCAGTGAGACACAGCACTACTTCAGCCGTTCCTACAAGTCTGATCGGGATAGTATATTGTGGCTGGTATTGGGATTCTCATGTAGGCCGCGAGCACGGTCAGTGGCGAACACCCACCTTACGCCATTTGCTGACAATTGGTGCTAGATCGAGTATATCCAACTGTTTTACCTGTGGCCAATGCAGACAGCGTTTCAAAGCTTCCCCCATAGGCTACATCATAAGTAAAGAGAAGGAGTACGTTCTCAAAGTTGGAAGATAGAATAACCAACTGACCTTTTTGCCAAACCGCCGATATAAAGATAACTTTTCCCTCCCAAACGTGGCTATAAGCTAATCGAATACTCCAAAGGTGAAATGTGGCAATCCTTATGGAGGACAGGAATCGATCGGAAGATCAAAGTGTCAAATCACGCATCATAACCGAGTTCGCTAGAAAGTCGCTGCCGATAGAAGGTTGTATGGGAGTGAATTATAGGGCCAACGGGTGTGAACCAAGGGAGTCACTCTGTCATACTTATAGAAACATCAGATACTTCAGACACTGGATAAAGCAAGAAATAAGCTCAAGGACTATTACTCAGCGACTGATACTCCAGGGCTTATCAACATATATACCAATGGAACTATCTTAGCGCCGCAGTATAAGCTTAAGCTCTTTCAGACCCCTAAATAGCAAGATAAGGACTTTGCAGGTAAATATAAAGCAGCACTCGAGCAGCAAATTCTTGCCTATAAAGTTCAACTCCATGATACTTGCTCACAATCTGAAGGGCCTTCTTACCCACAGCCTGTTCAAGAGATTGAAATATTACTTGATAGTTATAGAGCTCGACCCGCAGTACCACTCTCAGAGCTCCATCAGTATCTGAAGGGGGTAAGTATTCTCCCAAAACACAGTTTCAATACATACCTCTCTAACTATTCATTCAATAGGTACTATACTCACTTCCCCACTTGATTTCTGGAGGGACCATGAGCAGCAGTTCCCAGTACTTACAGCAATTGCTCGAGACATGCTTTCTGTCCCAGCTACTGGTGCAGGTGTAGAGCGCTTATTCAATTCTGCCCGCGATATCTGTCATTATCGCCGCGGCTCTCTCCATACAACGACTATTCAGGATCTCATACTGCTAATGTATGCTAATCGATTTGATATTAAGGAGGAGCAACTTGCTTTTATACGAGAATATAAAACAGAGTACGAGATAGATATTCAACAGGAGGATACCACAAAGCATATACTACAGGAGATTATAGAGATTAGTGAGGGGGGAGGGGGAGGAGGAGGAGGAGGAGGAGGAGGAGGAGGAGGAGGAGGAGGAGGAGGAGGAGGGAGGAGGAGGAGGAGGAGAAGGAGAAGAAACTCCTCTACAGCATCATACAAAGCGAAAAAGAGATAATTATGAAGCTGAAGAGGAGACATCAGATGAGGCAGGAGGCTCTGCGGAAGAAGAGCCTCTACTACCTAAGCAATCTAATACTCAGCGTGCTTCAGGGAGGGCCCGGATACCTTCGATACGGCTACAGGGATATACTACTTAATATAATCTAAAATTTCATTCACATCTCTGCTCTTACTGTATCTGATTCAATATAAAAATCACTACTGTATCACAGAATCACTTTATTATCGAAACCACAGCATTACAGCCAAGATCTCGCTTAATCTTCATATTTTATGCAATGCATGTTAGCCCTAGAAAAAGCCCTATATTTGGGCCATTGGGCCGTTTTGGTCCGGCCCATTAATGGGATATGGGCCGACCCAAATGGGCCGGCCCATGGGCCATGTACAGGTCTAGCAGTGGGCGGGTTTTGGCGAGGCCTAGATACAGCCAGAGAGAGGTCATGTGATTGGTCTTGGCATCAGTGGGAACGGATTAACTCTTCACCGTCTAAGTCATTTCCTCGAGGACATGTTATCCCAATCTGCCATGTTCTCCACTAACCACTTTCTCGGGACTTTCGGCATATCAATCGATATCCGTTCATTTTCATAGTCCAGTTTGTAGAGAAATGGCTGTGGGAATTGAACATGCCAGAGCTGGACTGGCCTGTCTGACCTGCAAGTCGGGCAAGCGACGATGCGATAAGCGGCTTCCAATTTGCTCTCGATGCAAGAAGTATGTTTGACCGCCGATAACGTCAATAGTGAGGATCAAGATGGGTACACATAACATGAAGACTAAACCCAGCGTATCGAATAGGTTAGATAGGCCCTACGAATATCCAACAGTCCCGCCATCGGAATGTGTCGCCCAGCCGACTCAACCAGTAGCATTGGTGGAAAGCGTGTGGCCGGTCACGTGTATGTCATGTACGGTGCATCGACGTAGATGTGATCGTATCATCCCAAGTTGCTCTCGCTGTGTGAGGTATATCTAGGATAGTCGGAATATTGGCTGACACGGCCGAGTGTGGCCATGATTGGTCCTCAAGAATCAGACTGACGCGATTTGCTTTCAGAGTCGGCACCAGTTGTATATACCGAACGAATAGCTTCGAAGCTCCACTCATTGCACCCGATAATCCCGAAGCAACTAGATACGAGCTCCAGCCACTATTAGATTTTTCTCTATTGTCAGAAATGGGAATGGCATTCGAATCTCCTATTAGATACCGCTCATACATGTCGGACCTAATACAATTCTGTAAGTCATACGACGGTCACTCATTGAATTCGATATTTACTCATCAACCTGGAGTTCTCACGTCTATAGCTTTACCCTCGGGTACGGTGGTAGCTGACAGCCTGGCCCACCATCTCCGTTCGCAGTGGATGCTGCACACCATGTCCGATCCATGCCTATTCCACGCCACATTGTTCAGTGCATCCGCTTCAATTGACATGTTGCTGGGCCGGCCGAATACCACGCTAACCCTGTATCATCAGACCTGGGCTATCCGCTTAATCAATGAACGGTTAGCACAAGCTGAGCTAGTCTTGACCTATGGAACAATTGGAGCGGTAATACCCTTGCTATATTCTAGTGTTAGTATATTTTGGCATGACAAGATATGTGAAACAGATACTCATGATGGGCTGTAGATGGTCTCACTTGATCGAGGGTCAGCAGCTGCTCACCAAAAAGGCTTGGTAAAGATGCTCCTTGCCGCACTGAAAAACTTCCGCGACGATATAGGACCTCTGATTGCCATCATCAAAATGTATGTGATCATTATTAAATTCCGAGCTGATCGGTTTATTAATCACATCTCTAGAGTAATGATATCATTTGCCTGCATCTTCGACATGCTCCCCATTTGGGATTGCTTATACTCTGAATTAATTCGCCTAAATACCCTGATTCGAAATTTAGTGTCCAGGGCCACTCTTAGCAATACGGAATCAATTTTTGAAAAGGGTTCTGTGGATGCAATATTGGACGTCTACGAAGCCATCTCGCAGTTGGGTCATTTAATCCAGGTTGAACACTGTAGCACTGCTGCTGAAGTTGAGCGCGTGCTCTCCAATGCACCAACAAGTGATTCGATGGGCACGGCCGAATATAATCACCCTCTTTCAACGCATCAAAGGCTAAATATATGCTGCCAGCTCTGCTGCCAAATATTTTGGAAAATACTTCGTCGACAATCGCACCGCGAGGAAATTCAATACACTACTCTCAATCACGAAGTTCGACAGCTTTTGAAACACCTGGCGCAAATAGAGCCTTTATACTGGATCCGTAAAGCCCCGGAAGTGTTTACCTGGGCTGCATTCACCGGTGCCGCAGCGTCAGATCATCATGATGAGTGCGTAGCCTTTATTAGCCGCACAGGGATGGTGTTGGCAGCCATCGATTGCGAAGAATTGACACTTATACGCCAGGGATGGAGATACTTTCATCTGCTGAAGAAATTTGGTGGAGATGATAATGTGCTTGCTGTATTGGCAGGTCATCGATTACGGGCTTAGTAGATGAGATGCTACATGATCCGCCCCTTTCAGTACCCCCGACTTCTGAGGGCTTTTACCGTCCAGTCCCAGAGGGTTTCCGCTATTTTTGTATCTGACCCAGCTTTACTTGGCGCCGAAACCTTTCCAACTGGCAACAAGTATGCTCCATTGTCGGCCTCTCTCTTCAAGCTGGGCGACACAGTAGCAAAGAGGATATTCGCTGCCCCTTTCCGTGGGCCAGGCGTACCTAGCTCGATAAGCGGTTTAATCAGCCGATAGAGCGGTGTTGATGAGATTGGCCCTGCGGATAAGTTCCTAAGTAACATTAGATCCGAGTCCTGGGTGACTGGACAGGGAAAGTTTACATACGTCTTCACTGTTCCCGGATGCAAAGAAAATGTAAGAATGTCGGGGTACCTTTTGGCCAGTTCTTTCGTATGCAATATGTTGGCAAGCTTAGAGTGGCCGTACCGAGCCCAGACAGAAAAGTTCTTCATGTTCATATCCGAAAAGACTATACCCTCTTTCGGGGCCAATTTAGCATGCCCGTCGCTAGATACATTCACTATGCGCACGCTTCCCTTGTCGGCCTTCTCTGTAGCTCTTTGGAGCATTGGGAGAAGGAGCTCTGTGAACAGGAAATGACCTATATAGTTCACCTAAATTGTATCAAAGATTGCTCCAAGAAAGCTATCGTATGGGATATACATACTGCCATCTGTATTTCAAATCCTTAGTTTGTTTCCTCGTACGGAACGCACATAACCTAGAGCATGTAAGTCATGTCTCATGAGGATAGGGATATAACATACGCCAGCATTATTGATAAGTAAATAAAGACTTGATTCCTGGCTATACCTTCATTAGCCAGAGCAATATTCACACACACCACAGGTCGGTCGGTAATTACGGCAGCCGATAGTGAGGCAGGGGCCAAAATTCCTGACCCAATCATTAGCCTCACCGCGATGAGTTCCGCCTGGCTTGACCGCTAAGTACACCACCAACCAGATCTCCGTATGCTCTATCAATAGCGCAGTGGGGGTACGTTATAGATAGAGTGGTGTTGGTCAGTTAGACCGAAACCTCCAAAATGCCAGATTTTCCAACATTCTTCCAGATTTTGGTTCACCATACTAATCTTTACGAATCTTCGCCAGTTTTGAGAGCTCAAATCTCTAAGATACGCGTTTTTGACAAATCTGGCCTTCTACCATGCCTGCTGGACGACCCCAGGTCAACATGGAGCCCTATAAGGACCAAGTCATTGTTCTCCTGACCCAAAATACGCCTATTAATGTCATACTAGACATGTTGCACCAAAATCATGGTCTCCAAATCTCTCCCAGAACATTCAAGCGCCGTACGCAGGCCTGGTGTATCCAGCGACGAGCACCCACAGGCATCACCAATAACAGACCCTTACAAATACGCGTCAAGACACTCATCTGTAAGGGTAATCTGTCTCCGAAAGAGATACTCGAAGTTCTCACCCGTGATGGCACTCCTATCTCTAATAACTCACTTAAGCAAATCCATAGGCGGCTTAGTATACGCCTTCGCATTGATGATAAGGACGAGCAGCGTCAGCAGAAGGACAAGATACTAGAGGTACTGGAGGAGGAACAAGGCTTTGGGCTTATTGAAGAGTACGGACGGGGTCACCTTTATGCCCACTTACGCCGTTATAGGCATATCTATGCAAGAGACCGAATCTTCGATATTTAGTGTTCTTTGCGCCCTGATACTCTTGAGCGTCGTTCGACCAATCTCCAGAGGTCACGTGGTGCCTATCAATGCCCTAGGCCAAACTTTGTATAGCACATTGATGGATATATGAAGCTAGAGCCTTATAGGATCGAGATATATACTGTGATTGATGGATATTCGCGTTATGTTACCTGGTTCTATGTTGGTATACGCACCGCTATAGGGTCATTCTAAGGTCTTTGAGTATCTGACTGTCTACCCTAGGTATAAGCACGCGAACTAGTTTCAGCGTTCTCCGTCAATATATAGATACATTATTGGCTACTGGCTTCCAACTGCGCACTATCCGCTCCAACCTAGGCACTGAGACGATGCTGATCGCCAATACTCACTATACATTATGGAAAGCCATTGATATTGATCCAATACTTCAGTTTTCTGACTGCTTTTGGTATAGCCGTAGTGTCTAAAATCAACGCATCGAGTCCTAGTGGGGACAGCTTACAAGCTCTATGAATTTCGTGTGGCGTAAGCTCTTTATTTGGCTACAGGACCAGGGCCACTTTCAGGCGACTATCCCTAACCAGATTACTCTTCTTGTTGTCTATATACCTTCTATTAAGGACACATACACAGAATTTATACTGATATGGAACTCCTATTGTATAAGGAAGCAGAAAGGACGCCCCTATAGTGTTCCAGGCAAGCCATAGATAAACTACTACTATCCAGGGCAGGATACTGATAGACAGGATATCAAGAATTACCAGCATACGCTTGACCCTACTTTGCTTAGTGCTATACAATATAACGTGGATGGCTGGGATGCTAACGAATATCTCCCCATACATACTATAGAATAGTGCCATACTCAGCTGCTACAAATACAGTTTGACCCTGAAAGGCCACCAGCACGAGATGGCACCCACCCATATATGGAGATCTACCTTTGGCTACGAGAGCGAGCCGTCTATCATACCCAAATAGGTGCTATTCCAATCCTATCACTGTACGAGAAGCCCACTATATCTTCTGATTAGGCATAAAATTAAGGGAGCGGCTCGCAGACTTGGCTTATGTTAGAGATAAAAGTGGAGATTAATAAATATCAAGCACTAGTTCTGTCAGAACTTTATTATTCTAGGGGTTGTAGAAGATATTCTAGTATTATCTAACGTCCAGGAATCTCCTAATATCCTAGCATATCCTATTGAGTATCTTCCACAAAGCACTACCAACCAAATGGCCTATTATTCCAGCGATACGCCTAATCTAGTCGATTTGACAGGGCCGTATGACGATTCACCATCCTCCTCCTCTACCTATACTACTAGCCAAGGAGCAGCACCGACAAGACCCTCTCAGCTTATACCAAGCTATAACCTGCTTCCTAACCCCTATAGTATAATACACTAACGAGTGGCAGGTAGAGTTCGCAAGCAAGAGATAAAGAGGACTAGACCAGAACACATTACTAGGCCTGAGCCACCACAGCAGGCCCCAACTCTTATCCACTTCTGTCTCTGGCGAAGACCATCACTGGAGAGAAAATCATGGACGTTTGAGGAGCTTAGTAAGTTTAGATATCGATATTATTTAATTTAATCAAGGTATGTTCCAATTTGCTAATAGGCACTTTAATACAGGTAATGTTTCCTAGTAGGTTCCTCCACAGACAATTTATGGCTTTAACGACTTTATTACAAGATATCTTCTGCCTATGCTTAGTCCTGATCTCGGGGTATATTTAGCAATGCCTACCGACCGATATTAGTTAGCCACAGGCCTAAAAGGTCAAAAGGGGAAGAGGGAGCTATATATCCTATCCGCTACAGAAGTTTATATACAATGTACTACAAATCTCTGCGAGCGTTTTGATTTAGCCGGTAGAGCTCGTCAGATTTATGTTGTTATTATACATGAGGAGGAACAGCTTTATATCAAACCTGAGTCTATAATAAGCCGCGAATCGAGCTTGGCCAGTAATATTAGCAATTAGACGACCCTCCCACTACCAGAACAGCCGGCTACTGACGCTAGGAGAGAGGCTACTTTAAGGGCTACTCCTCAGCGGCAGGTTACGCCATATTAGGATACACCGCAGCTAAGAGATCCTTCAAGTACGCTGTGATATGGTGGTGCAAGACGCAGTGGCACCAGAGGCCCTCAGGTAGAAGCATCACCGGCTATATCACCACCAAGTATACGTAGTAGGGCCTCTAGGGGTATAAGGGCAGGTTAAAACTATTCAGAAACTGCATATTTGGGCGATTTTGAGCACCTACAAACAATCAGAGTTAGTTAACTCATAGTATAGTAAATGAGAAGGCAGGATTTTAAAGATATAGTTTTATGCATCTAGAATTCCAGAGGCCTTGGTCTAACTCTGTCATAACCTCTGAATAGAGGCACACTTTTTGCCCTTCTCCAGAAATACTTGCTTAACATATTTTGGCAGAAATATACAAGCCTAGGGTATGAACCTTCCATATTAGGGCTAGTGACCTTTTCTGCCGGCATTATTTGAATTTTGGCCCCAACCTCTCTATCGTCTGCCGTAGGTAATGACTAACTGAGAAAACTATTCTGCCGCCTCACGAACATTGTCCAAATCGGCCAGGTCTAACTTTAGTAACCGGATATCTGCCTCCGGATGCTCGGCAATGATATCCTGCTTCGTATCTCTGAATTTTGCCTCGGATCGACTGGCAATATACACACGGACGCCGTGTTTCGCAAGCTCGATGCTGGTGCCGAAGCCACTGTTGCATCAGAGAAGTTAGGGCCATATCTCCAGATATAAGAGAAAATAAATCAAATATGTTAAGAAGGGTGTCATACAGTCCTGTGTGGCCACCTGTTATTATGGCAACGTTCCCGGCGAGAGCAGGGATGAAACTGTGCGGATCATTAATCATTACTAGAAATTTGCGTAATAATACTGGTGAGAGGGCGGCAATGCTTCAAGGCTAGACTACGTGCTATTTTGCCCTTATATATACATATTCTACTCACATAAGGTAGCTGTGGGTGGTTGCCTCAAGTAAAGATGCGTTAGCATCTGGAGGGAGGATCAGAGGGTCAAGGAACACGCTGCAACCGAACGTGCGGGTGCGGGTGCGGGTGCAGGCGCGGGTGCGGATGCGGGCGCAAGAAAAGCACAGACTAATCAATCATCACCGTTTTAAAGTAGTTTATTCTGTGAAATAAATTGGTCACGCGGACGGCAAAACAGATCAATGGATTATAATTTGGATGATATGTTCTTCAAATGGCATACAGCATACCCTAAATGTCCAGCCATTATGCACTCGCTGATGATGATGATGATTTAACCCTGACCCCTCACCTCGACGGTGATATGCAGCATACAACTATATATATCCCTTTGCGTACATGTAGAGTGTTCAATGTCTTGATAACGAACTTAGAGCCTCGTCACGGCCTACCGTGGCCCTAATTGCCGTTCCCATCTTTAGGCTGCCCTTGTGGCGGGCGGCTGCGAAACAGTTGTGACGCATCGGCGAAGTCCAATACGGCCTGGACCGTCTTCACCCTCGAGACGTTGTCTGGTTTGCCTTTTTACATCTTTTTGAGCCTCCCAGCAGACCCGATACGCTACTACACGCATCCCCAACTCTCTGCCTTAGCTCCTTTTGTTGATATGAGGCTGGTGTAGATCAGGAACCAAGCCAAACCATCGGAATTAATCCTGAAGTATGTATACGGAGAACCAAGTTGATTGGAAATCAACTTGATCTTCTCGCTGTATATATAGCCTCATGTTTCCCACTAGAATGATAACACAATTCATGCCTCTGAACTACAACACTCTGAACTACAACAGGTCGGTCCGGTCACCCACGCGGTAAAGTCATCCACGAAAGCAACTGCTCCTCCCTGGCCGTCGATCTGCCGCTACACGAGATCTGCGTTGAAGAAGAGGAAAAGGATTGGAGACAGTGGGGAACCCTGAGGTAGTCCAGCCTGTGGGAGGCTTTGGGCCTCAGATACTTGCCTATTGATTTGGATGGTCGCCGTTCGCTCCGAGCAGAACGCCTCGACCCACCAGAGCAGGACCTCTGGGATCCCTTGCACTTTCATCCTCTGGATCAATCGTTCTTTGCCAACCCCATTGTAGGCTCCTTTGACATCGAAGCTGATCAAGCTCAACACCCGTTGGCCACGCCACACTGTTTAGATTTGCTCTTGTAAGAGCAAGAGTGCTTGCTCCGCTGATTGCTACTTTCGGGCTCTGAAGTGGCTGGTCGGGAGCAAGCCGTAAGCCTCTACTACGTGTGAGATCCTTTCTACAACCACCGATTCCAGTATCTTTCCCAGTGTCGCTAGGAGTGAAATCGACCTCTATGCTTTGGCAATGGGGTAGTTTCCTTGTTCGGCTTTTTGAGCGGTACGATCTGCGCATGTCTCTACTGCCTGGGTAACCTGTCTTCTTCCAGCGATGCCTGGAATAGTTCAAGGACCCTATCCTTGATCGTAGGCCATATTTCTTCTAAACTATCGCCGGTAGACCGTCTTCGCTAAGCGCATTCCAAGATTTTGCCTCCAACAGCGGCCGTTCTACCTCCTCCATAGTGATGGCAGGCACCTCTACTGGCGCTCCTTGTGGTCTAGTCCCTTCATCGTCAAAGTCATATGGCATGGGCAGGAAGAATCTGGCCAACAATCTTCTTCCGCTTGTTTTTTATGATCGTGGTGGTAGCTCCATCTGCTCTGGTGAGGTGCGGTACCTTCCCGAGTGCTGCACACTCTCCCAACTTCGGTTGTTTCGCGGCTTTCCTTATATTCTAGTTGTCTGCGAGGAACTTATGTAGTGCTTTTCTTTTGTTGCCGGATGGCATCGTGATATTGTTTGGCCGCACCTTCGGCCATCTTTTCCAGGTATGGTACGTTCGCTCCGCCCGGCGCTCAGAGCGGGCGTGATTTCTCCAGTACATGTATACGTGACGGGGCTGTGTCAGGTCAGTTGCCCACCATCACTTTGCGTGTGGTGACGTTTTGGCCTTTGAAGTCAGGGCGTGCACCGCTTCCCATACCGCAAACGTGAGTCGGTCCGTTTTCTGCAGCACTGTGCCTTTCGACGGAGTTACGGCCAGGGTGCTCGCAATCCTGGCATTGATTTCCTTCCATGGCGCATTTTCCAGCAGAAGTAGTTCTTGGTGTTGTGGAACCGGCCACGGGGTATCGAAAATGGTTCCAATAGCGCGGTGGTCCGAGCCGTGCTCTGTCCCGTGTATTGCACACTTGACCATAGATTCTGTCAAGTTTTCCGCAGCCAGGACAAGGTCGATGGTAGACGTCCGTCTGTATACTAGAATCAACCCATCTATGTAGCCTGTCCAACGTTCACTGGCATTCCATTCAGTTCAGTATCCAACGGGTATAGCCTTCTACCCACTTAATTGACTGTTACTTGCAGTTCGGTACTAGTTCTTTAGAATAGTCATGAAGCGGATGGCAGCTCACTCGGTCCAAGACGGAGGCAAATCCGGTCAATCAAAGAGGGTTTCATCGGACGCAGGGACGGCAAATGGTCGGGAGCCATGCGAAGGACGGGTGGCTGTTCGTATGATAGCTATTAATATCATATTGAAAAGGCAAGGCCATGGGGCGCAAATACATCTTCGGCAGTACTACCTTTTAGCCAGTCGAAGAGTATCGAGCCTTCCTGAATTGAGGCCCAACATGCCGACCGGAGCGGTTATGTTCCAACCAAATTTCGTTGGCCGGTGGGAGCGCGACTGTACAAAGCGTCAATGGCCGGCACCATTGGGCTCGTGCGCCGCAGGTTTAGATTCGAGCAAGGCGGGTGGGTGTATGGCAATGCGGTGACTTCACGCGATGCAGCACGTCGTGCCCGGCTCGGTCGCGTCGGGCGTGACATTGAGCCTGCAGAGAAAAAGAAACATTAGGAATTCATTCTAGGTTATAATAGACAAAGTCTTAACTGGGAACCAATATCCAACTTCATGGCCATGTATATAGGCAACAAAGATGGTAATGTGCCGGCGTGGACTTTGCCGCGAGTGATTCTGTTGGTGACAGTGGAAAGGATCGGGAGCATTGACCAACCGCGCGAAGCTTGTTCCGGAAGTATTTCCTACCTAGCGAATCGTCAGCCCGGGATGCCCGACCCACGAAGCCCCACTTATAAGATCCTACCACTAGCTCCGCAGAGTAATTGGGTTTATTATGCCAGCGTTCAATCAACGTGCGAGGCTGCTTTCGGCGCGATCTATCATAAATAGTCAGTAGAGATTACTTGGAGATTCTGCTTCACTCACTATTCTCACAACCCGAGTAAGACCGCAAATCCAGGGAAGGTAGAGACATCGACTCTATTCGTGGGAACAATAGAAACAGACATGGTTCTCAAGGAATATTCCCGTCAGCATGGTGTCAAGTGCTAGGGTTGATGCACATACCTGCTATGAACGTACTTCTTTATCGAGCATATACAAGCTAGAGGCGGTGTTGTGAGCGTCAATACGATCGCAAGCATGAGAGATTAGGTTCGGTCCGTACCACAGAGAGAAGGTCCGAGGTGCAGGCTAAATTCCGGTGCAGACCTGTGCTACTGGGTGCCATCTCGTCTTGGCACATGGCATAGGCCAGGATTCAATCTTGTCAGTACGAAATATAGGAAGGTGGAAGAGAAAATTCTCAACTCTTTATCTTGGGCTGACTGCGGCGTGTTTTCGAAGAGATCGTTGTGCTGAGGTCTGTGAGATATATTTGTAGTGCTGGGGTCGCCTTGTCGCCCGCGCAGCTGTGACCGAGAGCCCGACCGAGTTTTCCCTCAGATTGTAGCCTGTTGAACCGTTTTAAATTGACTATGTGCTAATTTTGTTGGATTAACAGTTTTTATCTCGATGAAAACTATTCCGAAGTCTTATTCCTGGATTTCAACGTCGCTTCAACCTTCGCTTCAACCTTCGTGACGCAGCTAGCAAATCAAAACACCAACAACGCATTGTGTCAACTTTCATAAATATGAGCTTTTACTATTCAAAACAAATTCTGCGGTATCATTTAACTTTTTCTCAACGATGATAATTGATCATTTCGGTGATGAATATTAACACCCAACCTCGTATGGATAAATTGGTATGCAGACTTATCGATTAGCCTGCTTTTGATGTTGGGATATTTTGTTTTCCTGCTTCCACTAGCATCAATTTCTGTCTAACATGCTATTGTCAAGGTGTTGGTTTGTATAAAATATCGTATTCCAGAGGCCCTGCAAATAACGTTGGTTTTTGAAAATATATTTCCAGCGATCAGCACGGTCAAGCCTATTGCGAATAGAGGGAGAGCAAGTAGATAACGATAGACAGTGCGGAACTTATCTGCGTCACTGTGAATATTCTCATGTAAAATACCTCGCTACGATCTGAAATCTCGAAAAGTACCAAGCAAGCACTTATGCAGCGATTTTTTTCCGTTAATCCCTTTTGCCGGTTCATCTCTGGGTAAACATCCGGAGCCATTACCCCCTTGGACACTCACGCTTTCTGTCCCAGTGCCCCCCCACTCAGGTCACACTAAACCGACTTGGGTCAGAGAAAGTCCCACCATCTTTTCTTGATGTATTTCTTGTAGATCACTAAAATTACCGTCATTACAGTTTCCGGCATTGGGCAGACCATACTTGCCGAAACGTCCATTGGCCAAACACTATAATTTGAAAACAGATTACTCCTCAGACACTCACCGTTTGTTTCTCAAGCCATACAGCAATGATGTACAAGTAGCCCAAATTGTATTAACTAGTATATAATATATTCTTGAAAGAAGACTGTAAATCTCTTAAAATGTTAAAGAGCACACTAATGCTAGCTATGCCGACGCCTCAAAAGCTTTATGATATGATACAGTCCCAGTAGGTGTTGGCTTACGCCAGGTGAGAGCCATAAAATATTCCAGTGGCACCCCAGGTAGTTGCAGAGAAGGAACTGCCTTGAAACCAAAACGTGTGTAGTATTTCGGGTTTCCTAATACAACACAACCGGCCGTATGGCGACTCCGAAGATTTGCCAACGCGCGCTCTACCAACAACGACCCCACGCCATTTCTTTGATATTGAGGTAAAACGGACACTGGCCCTAGCCCGTACCATTTTTCACAGCCAGCCGAGATATTTATAGGTGAGACTGCAGCATGGCCAACGATAGTATGTGTGACTTCGTCTTCGGCGACTAGCGAGATTGATAGATGGTTCGCTTCGCGGAGGCCACGGACAATGAATTGCTCGTTGTGGTCTGTGTGCTCGGCATTCATAAATGCGGTTGAGGTGACTTCTTCTATTGCCGGCACGTCGCTTTCTTTCTCAAGTCGGATAAAAATTTGCCTTGCGCTCGTCATTCTCACTAGACTGCGGCACTATCGTACGATCGATCGATAATTATCGTTATCGTCGGATATTTTGCGGATAGCGATAGTAATTTGATATCCAACTATCCGCAGACGATCGATACGATAATAGATTTTTGGACTGCGGATATCGTACGATAATCGTCGGATAATAAACAGGACAAACATGCCTAGAAGCACTGCTTAATTTGGATTGCACAGATTATGCATTTTCTCTGGTATTTGAGTGGTATTCATTGTGTAATATCTTGGATCAAGGGATTGGCTCCTCGGGTTCACTAATGCATTCTTTGAATAACTTATGAAGGCTAATATTATATATACAGGAAGCTGGTCCCTTATTTCATATATAGATTTGCTCAAAGAAATCAATTCTGCAGAATTGACTATGACCTATCAATCTCAAAACCAGCTGGCAGCTTTGGCTGTTTCCCGATCCTCCCTGATCGAACCTGGGTATCTTCAACCAACGACAAAGAATGGGGCTGATCATCCTCACTAAGATCATGGAGTGTAACTGCAGTATATGATCGCTTTCGTTGTGTTTGTTGACCCTGAGTAGCAGGCTGTGTTGAGGATGCATCTTGCTCAATATCGGAATCATCTTGTATCTCTGACTCTTTACAACCCTCTTCCTCATCGTCGCTTATTGGAACAATCTCATTGCATAGTACTGTAGGCTTCCATGACTCCTCCAGCAGAAGAGCATCTCCGAATTCAAGATGCTCCTTGATCCTATTAAGTTCAGCTTGTTGTAGCTCAAACTTAGATGAGAAGGAGTGTAGCATCAGCTCTCGAATGGTTTCTGGTTTGAGACGTCCACGTTGGTAGTGACAGATATCGCGAGCATAATTGAATAGTTGCTCAACACCTGCACCGCTAGCAGGCGTTGCGAGAATATCTCGTGCCATTGGATACTTATGCTTATGCTCTTTCCAAAATCTGCGAGGATTACCCTTTGAAGGCCCTATTACGATAGTGAGTAGATAATAAATAGTTGTATAGTTAGAGAACTTACCTTGTGATAGATAATCAGCAACCTCATCGACTGGTTGATCAACATCTGGCTGTAGAGCTGTGTGTGGATCAATAAGAAGAGTAAGATCATCATTCTTATCAATTATACCTTGCTGGGCTTGCTCAGTAGTGGAATATCTTTGAGGCTGGATCCGCTCTTGGTATCGATCAAACTCTTTCTGTAGAATATCTCGATATTTCTTCATCCAGTCTACCTGGATGTTATCATCGTTACTGCCTCGCCAGTCATCATTATCGAAGTATCGAAGCCGTTTAGAAGGACATAATATAGTCGCAATTGCATAAATTGAACTGTATGGATTATTGTCTGTTGCTGTGTAGTATTTGGTAAGCTTCTTCTGTGCTGAATAGATCGCTTTGAGCATCTTCTTTTTCCAGGGCACAGCCTTCTGTTCTAGCTTCTCTTTTGTCTTATCAAGATGAGTAAAAAGCTGATTATATATACTGAATACAGAATGAACTGTTATATCCCGAGTCTTTGATAGTATGTTGGTCTTCTCAAAGAAGGGCTTAGTGATTATCAGAAGATATTTAACTTGACGCTATTCATCTGTATCAAGTAGAAATTGAGGATATTGATAATACTCGCAATATCGATAGATATCCTTCTGTAGCTTCCGAGCCCGGTTCAACATCAGAAATGTTGAGTTCCAGCGTGTACGCACATCCTGCATCAACAGAAGTGTAGAACCACTAGTTTGAAGCTCCTTGAATGCATCTCGACGTTAGGGATTTGTATTCACAAAGATAGCAAGCTCTCGGATCTAGAAATAATTCGATTCAGTTTAACAATAAGGCAAAAAATAGAAGAGATAATATTTTGGCCGAAATATTGGGTTAAGGATGGAAGGTACTTACCTTCTTTAATGTCATAGCGATATTCTTTGTATGTTGTCCCAGAGTAGCTTGAAGAGACTTTGTTCGTATATCTGACCACTCTGATTTAGTCTCTGAATTTTTGGGATTTACCTTGATAGTAGTAAGGAGATCTCTGAGGCATAATTGCATCATATGTATTAGACATGGAATTCGAAAGACGGGTATTCTATTTGAGGTCAGTGACTGAGATATATCCTGAACAGCTTGAACCATAGTCTCATTGTTTGATGTATTATCAGTCGTGATTGATGATACCCGACCAGTGATACCATGCTCATCAAAAATCCGAAGCACAACCTTACTAAGATTAGCTCCTGTATGGGACCCTTGAATATGCTCAAACCCAAGTAAAACCTCACGATAGTTCCAGTCCTTATCAATAAAGTATCCTGTAATTGCCATGAAAGCTTGCTGAAATGGAGATGTCTAACAATCAAAAGCAATCGCTATATTGCTACAAGGAGGCAGTTGTTGGAGAATGCTCTGTTGCTTTGTTTGGACCTCATTATGCAAAAGACGCCGAATAGTACGTGTAGAGGGTATCAATAGGTCGGTATTCGGATCAGCAAATCGAGTATATTCTATCAGTTCCTTGAATTCGGGATGCTTAATAAGCCGGAATGAGAGTTTTGTAGTTGTCACAAATTTCAGGATCTTATGTTGGAAGGTATTGTGATCAAACTTTGTAGCTGGTACTCGTTGAGGCTAGATCGAATGAATAATATTAGTATATAATCATAGATAATAGATAATATCTTACTATCTCTTGTAATATCTCATTAATACCTCGTAGAGATCTTGACTACAGTCTGCAGCGGCCAGATTTCAGATGATTTTTCATAGGCGAAGGACTAGAACGTCGAAATCCTGGATGAACAACAAAATTTTTGCAACGAACACATATGACCTTAGGCTCTCCTGTTGTTGCATAAGTAACCTGTTCAAATGAATCCTATACATATGATTTCTTTTGCTTGCTGTCCCATGCAACATATTTTTGAAGCTCCTGGTCTTGGCCATACTGTGTTTGTTGCCACCATTCAACAAACTGCTGTCGAATACGTGCTGTTTCTGGATCTATGTTGTTTCCCGGGTAAAGGATATAGGATTGTTGCAGAGATTTGCCAACACGCTGTAGTGAATCTGGTACTATAGGGTGTACGGGAAGAGAGGGAGATGCAAAAATTGAGGTAGGTCTTGTTGGGAATTGGTCGCTTGGTATCTCAGAGAGACTGTCTGATGCAAGGAGCTCTGGGTCAAATAATAAATCAGTATCTTGTGACACGTTATATTGGGAGCTTGATGCCTGAGAATAAGACATTGTAGAGTCCAAGATATAAAGGTGAAGGAAAGATAGGATCAAGATGTGCTCAGTATAAGAGACTCACTATTTTTTAGCCGAAAAAAAGGGGGCATAGGCAAACATCTACATGTTCACGATTTCGACGTGTTCAAATTTATTGGAGATACTAATTGGTTGCATATTAATAAAAGTGGATATTCTGTTGGATAACTGTTGGATATCGGCCGATTATCCGCCACGTGATAGATTGAAGTTTATTGATCTATGGTTAACTTGGAAAAGTGTCTAAGTCCGGTTGTAAGATAAATATATCTTCAATAAATCAAACTGTATCCAAATGTAAAAACCAAATTAGCCACAACCGCAACCGATTCTACATAAATGAATGTAACTAATCATTATTACCGGATGTTCCTATTATTAATACAATTGAAATTTTGGATTATTCATATGTAGAGTATAGTAAAGACGCTTTGCATACCACTCAAATCAAAACATGTTAAAAAACACTTAAAAACCAAGAGTTTGTCAGCTGCATAACTATCCCCTGACTACCTTGCAATAGGTAAATAAGCGAAATTTATGCTAGCGCGGATAGTTGTTGGATATCATACGATATTTGTTGGATATCGTACGATATCCGCAAAACGATAACGATAATAGATCGATATCCAACTATCCGCTCCAGCGGATAACGATAATGATCTATTATCGTTATCGTACGATATGCCGCAGTCTAATCCTGACTGCGAGAGGTCACCAATAAAGTATTCAATTACCATGAATTCGATAAAATCTGTCGAATTGCAGGTTGTAGGAGATCAGCGAGTTTATAGATGCTCTTTAGGGTTTACTTTCCCCCATTTGCCAGACAAATTTATATGGTACACAGTAGAAAGTTTCACTACAAAGACACAGTGGCACTCACTACTGGCAAGCAACACCAGATATATATATTGAACATGGAGATGGGTAGTGCTACAAATAGTGCTCTCTTATTGGCCAGCACTCGCACGTGACAATTATCGTAACGATAATATCGTATCGCACGATAATTATCGTCGATATCGATATCGTATCGCATTATCGTTTTATCGTGAACACCCCTATTTTTACCATTGGTTTTTGGGAGGTTTTAATGGGGCCTGGCAACCGTGATGAGATATCGCCAATACCCTTCTGGCGGAGGTTATGAGTGAGTGGGAGTGTTGAAATATCCCGGTTGCTGAGATAATGATAAGCTGGGATCACGTGCATACATATATACTTGACTCAGTCTACTTGTATCTTAGACAACACAGATAACACATCCAACAACACAACACACAATCAACTCCCCTCAATAACATGAGCATTGAAGCATCACTTAATAAAACAACATAAACCAACAGGCTGGGTTTTCGCGGGCGGGTTTTGCTGAGGCCTAACTGGAAGTAGAATGCTATCACATGACCTTCATTAGTCACCATCTTGCTTTTCCAGCTTCACTACTATTGGATGGAAGGTAATTCCGTAAAAATCTGTCCAATCTTTTCTGTGCTAAGAATTATGTTATACCCCTAGTGCAACCGACGGTGTTTATTTCAAGTCCGATCATTCTTGCCATTTAAAACTGCCTATCTAGGCCAGTTCTATTTCCGCTGCTTCTTGCTCAGCAACCATATTGTAAAATCATGCGCAAGCCAGACAATAGCTTCATCGACCAGTTTAAGGAGAAGTTTGGTGACCTACTTTTGAGCTGCGATGGTAAAATTGGAAAGGGGAGCGCTCCTATTAATGCAGAAGATCTAATGCTACCTGTTAGCTATGCTAAAGACACTGGGCTTTTTGGCCCTATGCAGCTAGACAATGTGAATTCTGGACAAATATTGGGGCAAACGAACAACTCCTCTATTTCTTCAAATACCCCTGAGTCCTTCTCCCCCGCAGTTGTCTCCAAGAAACAGAAGACATCTTACAATTGTAGCTTACCAGGATCTGGCGCGGTCTTCTACAATAAAGCGGGTGACCTCCACTCCCCTATGATAGAGTGGAACACAACACTGGCACTGCTACTTGACGCATTAATTCAATATGATCCGCCGACTTTTTGGGGAGGCTCTGGCTGCTTTACCCTGTTGGCTCAGACTCAAAATTGGCTGTATGGGGAAGCAACTCGACAAGAATACCCGAACTATACACTAGGGTTTCTCTTACAACACGATTCAGATTATACTGTAGTAGATAGCCTCGATTATTCCGGTCCTACAAGTGATATTATCTAACAAAAAACTCTAGAATTTGACTTAGCTACCCCCGAGGTAGACTTGAGTGGAGATTCGCTATATGATAACGGGGGAAAGTACGAGAATAGTCAGTATATTATTTATTCTGTTTACTTATCTTCTTTATAGGTTTCGTTACACTGTTACTCTGCAGGCACCAATAGCAATGCTTCGATATATTAATGAATACCCGGTGACCTACCTCAATAAGGGCCAAACCTATAGCCTTAAGGTGGCGGATTCTAAGCCACCTATTAGGGATATTGCGTTGGTTCAATATAGAATGTTCGTGCGAGTCTCTTTTGAAGAACAAGATCAGCGGTCAGACCTAGTTGTATCTTGGCAACTGTGGAAAGATGGTAGAGGCCGCAATGAAGCAAATAAGTGCCGAAGTGAGCTCTTGGCCGTTGAATATATTGATCCTCTTTAGGACAGTGCTGGGTGTAAGGGGTATCACCAGATTTGGCTCGAAAAGACCTATGTTGATGGTTTTTGTGTCACCTGGACAGCTGATCCAATGAGAAAAGTCTCCGAATGCCTTATCCCGCTAAGGTTCAATTTCTTGTCAACTGACTTCAGTCGCTTAAAAGGGGTTAAAGGAGTACCAGTCAGGCTATGTACGAAAACGGAACTCCTACGACTAGAAGGCGTGAAAAGAACCACGGAGCATGACTCAGAAATGTGCTATTGTGCGATAAAGCTTTTCCGGGACCATGGTGCTGAGTGAAAACTATCGAACGACGTGGCACACATCAAGAAAAAAATCGAAAAGCTTAATCAATAGATCACCGACAGAGAACTAGGCTCGGACTTTGTCAGATTAATTCACGACAACAATTTGAGGAACTGTGGGTAATTTAATTATTGGCCTCGGAAGGGCAAGTCGTTGATGAAACCGTGGAAACCCCCGACGACCGAAAACCTTCGTTTCGAATTGGCTCTAATATATAAATTATTTTCATCGGCTTGTTAAGTGAGTGTTCTAGGATTTTGTGGCGCCGAGCAAGATGATCCGGATTTATATTCTGTCACTTTACCACGTAGAATAGATGATCTGATCAAAAATGAATACATGGACAATCAACATATGGAGGACGTAACCATGGCTCCAATTCGATATTCGATAGAGCTGAATGTGCGATCTTATCGTTATTAAAGCCCTATCAGTATATAATATCCGCTTGAATTTCCAGGTATCCCTGCTGGAGATATGTAGAACTCTGTATCTCCTGTAACGTTGTCATCTATAGCTGGTTCGTACTGCTACTTCAGAATATATTTCGTTGCCTCTTACTTACCATACCTTGTCACAGTCGCATGCTTTTATGTCCAGATTAATCAGAATGGAAAGCTGGCCCCGAGCTACCATCATGTAATTTACTTAGCGGAACGAACATCTCTTGATCTCAAAGAAAAGCTTTGTGAAAAGATGTTGGTTGACCCAAGACTTATCGCTTGTATCCTATGGGGAAATAGCAACGGCTTAGAAGTCATGGTCGATGATGATATGGTCCAGCATATTCCAGAGGGGCAAATTATGACCGCGGATATCTCTGAAGTTTCTTGTATAGAAGTGGCTTCTGTGGGCTTGAAGCCGTCTGTGGCGGAAATAAAGCTTGTTTTCTAAATAACTTCTGCTGAGTGCACATGATCATTGAATTATTGGTCACAGGGGTACTTTTACAAGGTATAGGGTTTAGCGGAGTGTTATTTCCACCGAAAAACATAGGTAGTAGTATATGTAGACCTGATTCCGCTAAATTATTACTCCTGAGGTAGGTGTATGAAGCTCTATTATGATCGAAACCAAAACATACTCTTAGGAGTAAATAATAATAAATGTAGAAGACAGTATGAGCAAATATGACTCGAGAGCACCAAGGATCTGAAGTTTCTCTATGAAAAGTACCGATAGAGTTTGATCTTGTCTACTCATAATCTTCGTATTTGAATATATCCGCACAAGCTATATATGAATCTGAACGGTTAGACTATGATGTCATTTCTATCTCGGGCTTATAAGAATGGAGATATGGGTACGTTGGGGGTATTATTGTATTAGCGCTATCGAATTATGGTAGGTAGAATGGGAGCCCCAGGCTTCTTGGAGCTTATAGCCAAACTTGGACCAATTATATCTACCGAGGCTATGTTGTGCGCGTGGGCTATTTATGGCACCGATTGGCTCGTTATTCTTTGGCAGATATCGTATTCGTAGTATCTAATTATAACATTAATATTGACCACCTATAGGCTCCTGGGAGCTATAGTCAGATATCAGCCAATCACTTCACTGAAGACTTGTGGGCCATTCATGGCACTGATTGGCTAATATTCCCTTGTAGTAGTATCTACCTTCCTGTATCCACTTAGTTCCCTGGGGATCGATGTGGGTATTGTACTACGCAAAGAGGAGGCTGATGGCAGAAACAATTGTTCTACCGAAACATAATCGACGTGATAACTCGCTCAGAAAATTAGTTGATCACCTTCCCCTTCGTGTATTTCCAAGGCCTGCCAATTAAAGTCTATTGCGTAATGTGCAATGAAGAGTTACGTGTACAGAACACCCTAGGAATTGTTGGATGATAATATCAAATAGTTAATCCCGACAGAATTATACTGTAGGTCCCAATGATGAGGGCTCCCAGATAAAGAAGTATGTGTGCCAAATAGGTAAGGAGCTAGTTGTATATAATATTGATGAGGGGTTTTTTGAGTGAAAGTAAGCGCTCATCATCGGTGAGTGAAATGAAATGATATGATCTGTTGCCGCCCTGGCCATCGCAATAAGGTACGGACTTATGATGGTTACTGATGAAATGTGTTATCGATACTTTTCTGCGGCGTCCCTACGACTGTTTAAACGGTTCCAATAGCGAGAAAGGGTTTTTATAAACTGTATTACCAAAAAATAAATTGCAATACCTCCGAACGCAGCGTTAAATCAATAATGTAATGTTGAACGAGCTGCAATTGAAGGTTTGTCAGTGTTTGTGCCTTCACAATTCACAGCGATCATTGCGTCGACGTAAGCAGAATGACGGGCTACAATGCTATAAATACCCGAATTCCTCACTAGCAAAACAGTGGTTCTCAGTCATTCTTTTCTCATTCTGATTCAAAGAATTTCGAACACCTTTTATCTATGCCGCCTATTCTTTAGTATGAACTGACCTTGAATTCTTGCACTTGTAATTAAACTGACCTCTGGTACTATACTAGATATCTTCTCGATACTGACGTCTTTGAACAGTAAGTAAGTATAGCTGTCTTGTCATTAGAAATCATACTGATATAGAAAATGCTCAGTATCAGTCTTCCTCTACTATCCCTCTAGGAAACCATTTGACGCACTTTGGATGATCTCGATAATAATCGAAACTGCGAGCACGGTGAGTTATAAAGTGCCTTCATAAGCTGCCAACTGATGATTAATAATAGATTGAAGTCATCCCTTACGCAGTCGCTTCAATCATGCCAGAATGCAGCGAACACCAATAGCTAACTACCTAAGTTTTTATCAGCAGCAATTTAGAGAGTATTCATCCTATACTAACGACTCCCTGTATAAGAAGGCAAACGTTCGATCACAAGCCGCTCGATCTCCTCTAAGTGACCATGGTACGTTGCCTCAGCCTACTTCCATGGCCGGGGATGCATTTTGGATCTCAGTGTAGATATTATATACTTAATATTCTATCCTGTCGTCCTCTCTGTTCATCAGAAAAGATTACTAGTACTTCTTTCTAGTCATAGGACAAGTTTCATAGATAGTAGGCTTCCAGCATGTTTTCATCTCTCCCAGGTTCACACTGTCCGACCAAAGATTAACTGTCATTATATTAGCTTCCGTATCCTGACGGCCATGTACCTCTAGTCCCGTATCCGATTCGAAGCCTCAACGACAACATCATCCGGTCCCATACTAGGCCGAGTGAGCTATCACAGCATCCAGCGACAATAAAGAGAATAGTAGCATCGACGAACACCAAGAAAGACCACAGTTTGCCCGGGAATAATATATATCAATCAACAATAAATCGAGCTTTTGGCGACAGGCTGAGAGCCAGCACTGTCAAGCCTTGGTTATAGCTGAGTAAGCGACAAGCCTGGCTGCAGTATTGGTCTACCAGGTCTCTCTTACCGCAAGAGCAGTCGTTTTAGGTTAGTTCCTAGTTTAATCTATACCAGATATCATAACCTCTCCTCCAGTAATACTTTATCCTGACATTGTTGAAGATATGCCTGTCGCACGAACAGCAAAGACGAAACTGCTATATATTAAAGGATAAGGCCTATATCTATTCCCCGTATTACTAAGTGATCCCAGGTCCTCGTGCACATATGCTTAAGCTGATGCCTGTTACTTCGTCTCTTTTTTGGCTGTGCTGATGACGGACTATATTGCAGCAAGTCTTTATCACTCTCAGTTACTAGGAATCTCGCCGACATAAAGGGGTAGTGAAAGGTAGCCGTTGCTCAGCCGTTCCATTGAGTTCGATCGGGAATACTGTATTGTGACTGGTATCTGGATTCTTATCTAGACAGCAAATAATGTAAGTTGCAAACACTCATCTTACACCAGCTGCTGATTGTCGAAGTTTAGAAGTATGAATTATGTTATTTATTCTTAAGGTGATACACGAGGCTATATATACAATACAAAGACTAAGTTGATTGTAAATCACCTTGATTCTTTGTATAGGCAACCTAGGAGTATTTCCGATATTATGGCTTTGTTCCTATCCTGCATAAGCCTTATATCACAACATCTAACATTAAAGGTTTAGTTTCTGTGGGATAACAGAGTAAATGTTTTTGTTACAGAATACCAAGTTGGCAACAGCCCTTGGCTTTTCGATCAAAGGAAGTATTAAGCGCCATACGTCCCGCGTTTATTATTACATTGGGTGATGTTTATTGTAAAACGGGTGATAGGATCCTGATCACAGCCGATCTTAGTCAGTATATACATCAGTGAGTTTTTGGCGAATTATGATATTATCTAGGATCAATTGATATTCCTACGCCAACATACCCCTCCACCAAATCTCAACTGCTTCTACAATTCGCTAGATACCTAAAGATTTCTATAAATTTTCCAACAGAATAGTATTTAATTCATCAGCTAAAATTCAATCGGTAAGCTGATAAACGGAGATTCCATCAATATCGGGGTTATAAAAAGTTTCGATATATTAACATAAATTTCAGTGGTATCTTATATATCAATTGTAAACGCATTTATGAAAAGATCAAGCCTACCTGCCATTACTATCGAACTTCTTTCTACAGAAATTAAGATATATGTCACGAATTATCTCCGTAATAAGCACGTGAAAAATCTGTTACTAGTTTGCAGAAAACTGAGAGAAATTTCTTTGCCCTACATCTTCCGAAACGTCCGGTTTCAGTTTTCTCGTTCCAGATTTAACGTATTACAAGAGTTTTTACTCTCTGACCTATGCTGTTATATAGTATCTCTTACATATAAGGTCCTAGAGCTACTGTATCCTAGTACACACCTTACAATATATATTTGTGAATTCACTAATATCTTCCTAGAAATATAGGACTTAAAGTTTTTCAAGGAAAATATGTTGAACCCAGACGACTATATTGAAATTGCTAAAAAAGAGACCAACTTTAATCATCTGTCTGAGGTACACATTCTATATTTGCTGGTGTATAATACTTTTAAGTGTATATACCAGGAGCAGTATA